TACTTCAGGCCGTTGTATAGTGCTTTTCCTACAACGCATTAGTAAGAATCCCAAACATTTCTGAAAAATCTTTGGAGGAGAGAGGGGAACAAAACGGATATTCAATATTGGTAACAGGCTGCACAAGGACCAAGGCGGCAAAACTGCCCAGAGGAAAGTAAACAAAAGCTCATGTGTGTCAAACCGTTGTATAGAAATTGGCACTGTAGACGATTCGTTAACACTGGTTTAAAGTGATTTTGTATCTTGTTCTGCCCCATTATCTCATATGGTTTTGGATTATTTCGACTTCTTCAGTAAAACTTGAAATGGGTAAGTCTCTGAAAGTCGCGGAAACTCTGAGAACTATTTATGTTAATGAACCATGGTTTTAAATCCTTGCGAAATTTTACGTGATATTATAATGAGTCTGAAAATAAACGTAGCGCTCCAAAGCATTTTGACATCGTCTTTTGTTAAGTTACCTTGCAAAACGTAAACTGTGGGTTAGGGTATATGGTCCACTGTCAGCCGCCTGGCGCCAGGTTTCACAAACCTGCCGCTAGGTGGCGCTTGGAGCGCCGTGCCCGTTCACCAATAAGTATTTCCGATTTATGTTACTAAAGAAAATAATTTTCGACAACTATATCATCTGTTGCCTAAGTAAGTGTCAGCCCTAGCCGTTGGCTTTCAGTTTTAAACAAAATACTCGCGCTGCTCGCTGGGGGCTCCGCCCCCAGACCCCCGCATGTGTGGGGCGCGTACCGAAGTATTTTTAGTTAGTCCGTGGTGACCAAAGGAAAATTTTCTTATGAAGTAACTGTACTGCTTTTTGGAAGGGTCTATTTAACTGCTTTTGACCATTAATTTTTAAGGTACTATTACTGCCCAAATAGATAGCTTGTATTGGCTACTGTGGCAGTCAACGGCATTCAAGGTCCGGAAAATATTGAAGACTGCTTTGACAAGAATAAGATCTGTGTTCATTATGGTCTATGTGGCCGAAGGCCAAACTAATGGGCCTCTTTTGCGTCTTTCATTTCTGATTTCTACAGATTTCTCCGGCCAGGTTTAAGACGCAATATATTACATGGCTTTTATTGCTTGGAAACGGTTGTATTTTGTTCAGTTTAGGCCCATTTCATCGTTTTGAAGATGTTGCCGGTGACGGGAACCCGATTGCGGCACAGTTTCGGAAATGTCACGACCAGACCTACCGATGGGGCGAATAAAAATTTTTAATCGGTCGGCCCCCTTTTTTGAAGATTGAGTGGATTTTGTTGAATTTAGGCCTTTTTAAATCGTTTTTGAGGATGTTGCCGGTGACGGGGACCCGATTGGGGCCCCAGTTTCGGAAATGTCTCGAGCAGACCTACCGATGGGGCGCATGAAAATTTTCAGTCGGTCGGTCCCCTTTTTTTAAGATTGAGTGGATTTTGTTGAATTTAGGCCTATTTAATCGTTTTTGAAGATGTTGCCGGTGACGGGGACCCGATTGCGGCGCAGTTTCGGAAATGTCTCGACCGGGCCCTACCGATGGGGCGAATAAAAATTTTTAGTCGGTCGGCCCCCTTTTTTGAAGATTGAGTGGATTTTGTTGAATTTAGGCCTATTTAATCGTTTTTGAGGATGTTGCCGGTGACGGGGACCCGATTGCGGCCCAGTTTGGGAAAATGTCTCGACCGGGCCCTACCGATGGGGCGAAAAAAAATTTTTAGTCGGTCGGTCCCCTTTTTTGAAGATTGAGTGGATTTGTTGAATTTAGGCCTATTTAATCGTTTTTGAGGATGTTGCCGGTGACGGGGACCCGATTGCGGCCCAGTTTGGGAAAATGTCTCGAGCAGACCTACCGATGGGGCGAAAAAAAATTTTTCAGTCGGTCGGTCCCCTTTTTTGAAGATTGAGTGGATTTTTTTTTGAATTTAGGCCTTTTAAAATCGTTTTGAAGATGTTGCCGGTGAGGGGGACCCGATTGCGGCCCAGTTTCGGAAATGTCTCGAGCAGACCTACCGATGGGGCGCATAAAAATTTTCAGTCGGTCGGTCCCCTTTTTTGAAGATTGAGTGGATTTTGTTAAATTTTAGGCCTATTAAATCGTTTTTGAAGATGTTGCCGGTGACGGGGACCCGATTGCGGCGCAGTTTCGGAAATGTCTCGACCGGGCCCTACCGATGGGGCGAATAAAAATTTTTAGTCGGTCGGTCCCCTTTTTTGAAGATTGAGTGGATTTTATTGAATTTAGGCCTTTTAAAATCGTTTTTGAGGATGTTGCCGGTGAGGGGGACCCGATTGCGGCACAGTTTCGGAAATGTCTCGACCAAACCTACCGATGGGGCGAAAAAAAATTTTTTCAGTCGGTCGGTCCCCTTTTTTGAAGATTGAGTGGATTTTGTTGAATTTGGGCCTTTTAAAATCGTTTTTGAGGATGTTGCCGGTGACGGGGACCCGATTGCGGCACAGTTTCTGAAATGTCTCGACCAGACCTACCGATGGGGCGAATAAAAATTTTCAGTCGGTCGGCCCCCTTTTTTTGAAGATTGAGTGGATTTTGTTAAATTTTGGGGCCTATTTTATCGTTTTTGAGGATTTTGCCGGTGAGGGGGACCCGATTGCGGCACAGTTTCGGAAATGTCTCGACCAGACCTACCGAGGGGGCGAATAAAAATTTTCAGTCGGTCGGCCCCCTTTTTTTTGAAGATTGAGGGGGTTTTTTTTGAATTTAGGCCTATTTAATCGTTTTTGAGGGTGTTGCCGGTGACGGGGACCCGATTGCGGCACAGTTTCGGAAATGTCTCGACCAGACCTACCGATAGGGCGAATAAAAATTTTCAGTCGGTCGGCCCCCTTTTTTTGAAGATAGAGTGGTTTTTGTTGAATTAAGGCCTATTTTTATATATTATTATGTCGTTTTTAGGATGTTGCCAGTGACGGAGACCGGATTGCGGCACAGATTCGGAAATGTCTCGACCAGACCTACCGATGGGGCGAATAAAAATTTTTAGTCGGTCGGTCCCCTTTTTTGAAGATTGAGTAGGTTTGCTCGGAAACGGTGAGAAATTTGTTCCCCTTTTTTGTAGATAAAGTAGGTTTTCTCGGAAACGGTGAGGAATTTTCAACTTTTGGGTTTTTTCCCCAAATTTTTCCCATTAAATTTGGAATCGAAGGGAAAAAAAACCGCAAGTCTCTACGACCACTCCTTCACCCCAAACATTTCTATGAGTGAGTGAGTGAGTGAGTGAGTGAGTCAGTCAGTGAGTCAGTCGGATTGGGGCTTTATAGGTTCTTGATTCTTGATGACACTATAGTCGAGAAAAACGCATCTCCATGTTGCCACTCGCTGGCGACTGCGGTCGGCCATTAGGTTGGGTGCACGCAAGATCTTCACTAGCTACGCGGTCCACCTCGTCCAAGGGTAACCTTGACAGGTCTGAACTGTCTTCCGAGTTTGAGATTACTTCTGCTGGAGTCCTCACTCTCACTACTTCATTTTTGGTAAAGCCTTTCCCGTGAGATTGCCGCCATGTTCTTCCGAATGATGATCCACTAAAAAAGCTTTCCTATGCTTGAATAGGAGTTTCACCACCTCACGTAACGAAAATATCCCACAATTCGTATGGGATTTTTACCATACACGGTGTAGTATTTTTCCCACACCCTAATATAGTAGAAACCTAACAACATGTATAGGATTTTTGCCATATCGACATATGGTAAAATTACCATGTCCTGTGTGGGAAAAATCCTATACTGAATAGGTTAAATGCGTCCGATACTTTCATAGGATTTCTACCACAATTTTTTTTAGAGTGTAGCGTGATGCACTTCTATTAGTTTCTGGAAGTTTGAACTTTGATGCAGGGCGCAGGGCCACTAATGTCGGCCACATTCGTTCGGTACCGACAAAACCTGAGGCCATTATAAGGGGTGGTCAGTAAATTATGCATCATCTCAGCAGCAAATATCTCAGCAGAAGGATTTTTTTAGATCCTTCCGACATTTGGGATATTGTTTTACCTGTTTTACGTGGGAACTTGCAGAAAGGAGTTCAATTTTCTGACAACAATCAGATGGAAGTACGCGTCTGCGCTGACACTACACTTCAAAGGCGGGATTCCGGCCGGAGAGCCACTATTTAGGACTCGAACCGAGCGCCTGACCCCACAAATAGATTCCTCGTATGGAGAGCAATCCATTGGGGTCATACGTTCGGTTCGAGTCCCATTTAGCGACTCTAGACCTCAAAACCCGTCCGGGATTTTGGCCGCCTCCGCCGGTCTTCTGGCCCACTGTCGGTGCATTCCCTTTGCCACGTGCGGCGAGTTTGTTGGCCGCGGTATTCTGGTGTAGGTCTGGCCAGGCCAGGTGCAAGTATAGAAGGCTAAGGGGGCTTTTTATCAATGCCAGATTTGAGAAATAATCTTATCGCCTGAAATCTGGACGTCCACGTCAGTTGGAGTGCTTGTCACGTTGACAGATCCAATTGTACATTATCAAACACTCAATCTCTCCGTCTTATCATGAACCGCGGAGCGATGCAATAATTTATCCAAGCCCGAGCATTGAGTTTTGTTACTAACGTAAAAATGAGGGCATGTTTGATTTTCGTTCAAAAAGGAAAGAAAAAACAACACGTTTCATGCTCTCTCAGACTGTTATTGACTTTTTGTCCTTTGTCAAGGAGTATTTTACACAGCAATACATACTATTTCCTCAATATCTATGTAAGACTTAAAGTCAATTTGCTATCGACAACGAGTCAGTACGTAGCCAACAGTTTAGTCATTATAGTGAACAATATTGTACATGGTTACAAAGGAAATACACTACATATTATTGCTGCTTAGAAAACTACGTAAGCAAAGGAAAAAAAGTCAATTATGGAGAGAGAAAAGTCAATACGCGTCTGAGAGTTTGTGCAATAAGTCTGGGCTCTTTGATATTTTGATCTAATAATTTCGACACTGAAGCGGGTAGTCAATGAATAGAAAAAAAAAAAAAAGGTCCAAATACGAGAGCCTTGATTTCGGTTGTCAGAAGGTTTCGAATGATTTGACCCTGAAACTGAAACCAGTTCAAGTGGAAGATAAGTTTTCACTTTCGTTATCTGCAAAGGACGAGACTGGCCTCAGACGGCGTTTCGCACATAGTACCACTCCGTACAATGTACGACCGCGACAGGTCTTGCAGACCGAACCAGGCAGTGGGCGAGTGACTGAATCAACGCCGCGTACAGTGTAAGCACTGAAAAGACGCGATAAACCAATTTCCGCTCTTTTAAAATCCATCTGAAATTTTATGACATGAAGGATGGGTGGCCTTTTTTGCCCATAACGGGAAAATTTGCAGCGCGGCCGCTTCAGAGAGCGACGCAACGGTAATTTCTACACTCTCAGCGCGTTACTGACTTTTTCCTCATTAATTACGTATTCTTATAAACGGCAATAATACTTAGTATTTTTTAAGTAAGTATGAGTAATTTCCTTTGTAAAATTATGTACAAAACAAAATTCTCAGTACTTTATTTAATATTTCCTACGTAGTTCTTTAAAAACAGAAAAGAACGTATTATGGTTGCACAAATTACTTGCATAAGTACTGACAAAATGAGCAAATAGTCAATAACGTGCTGAGAGAGTCCTCTTTTCAGGGCATGTTTGTTGCGTATTCTCCGAGTACTCAAATCATCCCGCAAATGGCTCTCTCCGGTAGAGTATACACAGGTGCCTGGTTTCTGAGTAACCAAGGCGAGGAGACAACCACTTTCTCGGTTTGGGGACGCAAGATTTCATCACAGGGAGATTTGGTTGAAATTTCCAAGATTTCGTCCAGCTATACGTCTAAAATCAGCTAGTTTCTAGCCCTTTTGGGGATTGATTTCGGGTTTTGCAGAGACTTAGAGTGCCCCAGCGGACACAGGACTTCTCGAGAATTGGCCCCCTTGGACCAGGGTGCTACGGATCTGGGCAACTTTTGGCGCTGTCGAGCAATGGCAGGAGTGAAGGTAAGTTGCCCAGTCTAGGCGACGCTTGGCGTCCTAAAAAGCGGAGCATGCGACAGGGGCGCCCAGTTTCAGGCTAAGCCAAACTTGTTGTCATCGCACGATGAGAGGCGACACGAGCAACACCTTTTATATGTTTACAAAGGGCCTTTTAGGCGCACAACGACAAATCGTTCCTTTCATACGATGATCACTTCCATTAGATTAGTGGTTGATCGTTACTTTCCTGTCCGTTCTCGTCAAATGAAGCTGTTGGTAGTGACAACTACCTCTCCACCACCTGCTACAAGTTTCTGCAGGTGCCTGAGACCCTTGCCGGTCTTTGTTTGACAGTTTACGGAAATGATGCTGGTTCTGTGGCTTCTGGCGGTCGGCTCGGTGACGGCCATCCCAACAGAGGACGACGAAGCCCGCTTCGCATTGCCTGACGATCTCCTCGTAGGGGCAGGAGTTGCCGCCATCCAGACGGAGGGTGCCTGGAACGAAGGAGGTCAGTGGCTCCCCCTAAGGGTGTCAAGGAAAGACACGATTTTTCGAATCGCGCCTTGATTTCGGGTTTTGCTTCGAGCTTCCCTAGAAAATTCAATGGCTTAGTTGGTTTTGTTCAAATGGAACTGAACAATGCAGCTCGCGGCATTGTATGAGTAATTATTTCTTTATCCCTTTTCTACAGTTTTGAGAGTTGCGACGTTTTGGGCACGATGGGTGAATTTCCTAGGGTTACGCTCGACAGGACGGGAATAATTTGATAACGTATAAAATGGGTACAGAAATTGCAATATACGATCAACAGTCGGCATTTTCTTCCTTATTTTTTATTTGCTCTTGTTTTCACAAGTTCACAAGTTGTGGGGCAGCATTGGTTCATGACATGGTTCATGGTTTGATGAAATTCTTGAGTTTCTGAGAGTGACTTTCATGATCTTGACATGCAGAAGGCTTGTCGACTTGCCTGGCTCACCTTACGGTGCTTGATCACCCTTTAAGTCACCCTGAGGAAGCCTGCGAAACTTTTGACGAGACGAGGAGCCCCCTTACGAACGGCGTGGCTTCCGTATTTAACTCCTTCCACTTCTAGGCAAGAGCCCAAGCGTGTGGGACGTGGCGTTTCACTCCGGTAATCTCATACCATTGGGTTACGCTACGAACCTTCACGACAAAGCCGCGGACTCGTACCATCGCTTCAGAGAGGACCTGGATGCGGCGGTGCAAATGAAGGTACGTTTGTCACGTTTTTAACGAAATACATGAAAAATCGACGGAAACAAATTTAGTTTTTAAGTGAAGGAATTTATCTGTATTTGAGCCCTTAGGGTTTCAAACCCTGCAGGGGCTTCAATTGTTTGGCTCGGGCTGTGCTCTCTCTTGCACTTTCAGACCGAATTGTTGTCTGTGCCCTCAGCTCCAGATGTACCGAATGTCCATTTCTTGGGCAAGACTGCTGCCCGACGCAGACTCTTCAAAGCCCAACCAGGAGGGTGTGGACTATTATCACACTGTAATCGACGAGGTTCTGAAGCGCAACATAACTCCCCTGGTTCGTTACCTTGAAACTTTTCAGAGTGAGTAAAACGTTCTCTTGACACATGTGGGATTTCCCGTCTACGAAAATGACCTCATGTGTCAGGAGAACGTTTTTCTGCACTCTGAAAACCTTGCAAGCTATTTTAGGCCTTACGAAGAAAAGTAGCTTGTGTTTTGAGCACACGCACGCGTCAAAGAAAACATGTCGCAATATACGATTTATTTCTTCGTATTGCAAACTAGTTTGTATTCTCAAAAAAAAAGTTCGTAAGCTTTGGAACATGAAATATCTTGCAGTCGGCACATTATAGCAACATTGCTGTACATTAAAGGGTTCCTGCTTACAGGTAACGATGTATCATTTCGACCATCCACAAATCCTGGAAGATGAATTCAAGGGTTGGCTGGACAGGAGAATGGTGGCCAAGTTCGGAGAATACGCCGCATTCGTCTTAAAAGAGTATGGTTCAAAGGTAAGATGCGTCGAGTGAGCTGTATGCTGGTAAAAGTCTACGGTAAAGGATACAGAGCGAGGCCGAAAGCAGCCAGACGAAAAAAGGGGAGACAGGATTCATATTTGGGTACTCTCTCATTGGCTGCAGGTTAAGCTGTGGACAACAGTGAACGAGCCCAATATATACTGCAGTTTCCTTGAAGGTTTAATCGAGACTGGGCGCGGCGAACCCTTGAACGCAACGGATACCGTCAACGTGTACCCATGCTTGCATTACTTCCTCTTGGCGCATGGTCAAGCGTACCGAGCCTTCCGCGACGGAAACTTCGAAGGTAATGTTTAGGGAAGATTTGGTGGCACTTTAGATGCTCCGACCCCCCTCACATGCAATTGCAACATATTTTGTGAGTTTATTTCAGAGATCTTCTCATTCGCGATGTGGAATCTGACCTGTTTTCTCAGTGTAGCAAAGTGTCACATAGCACATGGTGCCCCTCTCTCCTCAACTGAAACTTTTCACTTCCAATGGCGCTAGAGGTGGGTACAATATTTCTTGTTTCAGGTAAGATTGGATTCACCGTGACAACGCTTTTGTCCCGACCAACGTCCACATCTCCCGAAGATGTCTACGCCTCCGAGTCATTTAACCAAATGTTCGCTGGCATGCTGCTGCATCCGTTGGTCTACGGGGACTACCCCCAAATAGTGAAGAACATCGCCGGAGACAAGCTGCTGAAGTTCACTGACGACGAGAAGGAAATGCTTAAGAGTAAGTGAAAATTGTACTTGTGTACAACTGAAAGGGTAGATATTTTCTTAAAATACTTTTTTACTAAATTTAACGCCGTTAAGCTTTTCGACGTTAAAACTATCCCTCCCTTTTCTTCATTTTCCTTTTTATTGGTCACCAGTCTCATGCTGATGGATGAAAGTTAAAAAGTAACAAATGCAGCATCACATTTGCAGTTATTTCACGTTTTATTTGAATGTCAAAAGGACTACTTCTTCCGCAAGTATATAGAGTACTCCAAGGAAGCTCTGGCCCGGAAGAAGAAGAACAAAAACGGAAGTAAGAAATTGCAGTTTCTATGAGAAATATACGCTGCGGACCCTCATGCGCAGCGTAGGAAGCGGAAGAAGGGGATTACTCAATTTTGGCCATTTTTCAGGAGAAACAAAAAACTGTTAACAGGGAAAACTAAAACAAAACAAATGAATGTTGCAGATGTTAATAATTTCAAAAAGCATCAGTAAAATTTTGGAAAAAAAAATCAAAAGTGTAAGGCCACTCCGTAGAGGATTTCTGCGACTTAAAACTTTCCGTTGAAATGGAAAACAGAGTCAGCTCACCTTATATTTCCTAAACAAAGTGGAATTTGGAGACAAGTCAAGTGGAACAATAGTCCGCATAAAGTGCATGTTACTCTGGTGTATTTTTTGGACTTAGCTCTTTTTTCCAAATTGAAATTTAAAATTAGGACGTTAAAACTATCCCTCCCTTTTCTTCATTTTCCTTTTTATTGGTCACATTTGATATACAACCAGTCTCATGCTGTTGGATGAAAGTTAAAAAGTAACAAATTCAGTATCACATTTGCAGTTATTTCACGTTTTATTTGAATGTCAAAAGGACTACTTCTTCCGCAAGTATATAGAGTACTAGTACTCTTAAAACCTTACGAAGTATTTTGAGCATACATATAACAAACTAAAATACTTTGTTATACGAAGAAATAGTTCGTAAATTACGAAGTATTTTCTTTGTAAGCTTACGTATGCTCAAAATACTTTGTTATACAAACTAATTTTCTTTGTAAGGCCCAAAATAGTTTGTAAGGTTTTCTCAGTGCTCCAAGGAAGCTCAGGCCCGGAAGAAGAAGAACAAAAACGGAAGTAAGAAATTGCAGTATCTATGAGAAATATACGCTGCAGTCCCTCATGCGCAGCGTATATTTCTCATAGAAACTGCAATTTCTTACTTCCGTTTTTGTTCTTCTTCTTTCGGGCCAGAGCTTCCTTGAGTACTCTATTGATAAGTGTTCTTTCATTTCCCTGAACATTTCTGCGTTTGTCTTTCTGACAGATTCGACGGACTACATTGGTCTTAACGTGTATTATGGGATGGCAGTCCAGTATAAGGACCCCGCCACACCTCGTCGAAACATAAGGGTGCCATTGTTGCAGCTCTTCAAAGAAGCCAACTTTCTGGAAGTCGGCTATCGGTCGCCAACTGGTGAAAGCCTGGAGGAATATCCGTTGCCAATGGTCAGTGTTTTTGATGTTTATCTATCTACTGTGCGTGCACACTGAACCCACTCCACCTGGAGCGTGCTTGTGCTAGGCAGGCACTCAAAACTATATCATTTTTCTCATGTTGAGAGACGTTTGGCCAGGGTAACAGGTGTGAGAGTGTGAATTTTTTCTCGTTCGTTTGAATGTTTATCCACGATCAAACGAATGTGTCACCCTCATTAGACGGTCGTGTCACGTTCAAAGTAATGTAATATTCATTATATTCAAAAGAACACTGGTAAAACGATCCAGGAAGCGGAAAAAGGGGGTAAGTCGATTTGAATCCGTGCACTTTTGCAAGGCCTAAACCTTGCAGGGGGAAGAACAGGTGGGGAATGTCTTCTAAAAATAGACAAGGGGGTATTCACTCCTAAAAGTGGTCGACATACTAATACCTTTTGAAAAGTATTACATGAATTACACCCTACTACAGCTAATCTGTCAATTACGGGTATTACCTCACTTTAGGTATTAGACTTTATCTATCTACTGTGCGTGCACACTGAACCCACTCCACCTGGAGCGTGCCTGTGCCAGGCAGGCACTCAAAACTATATCATTTTTTTTCATGGTGAGAGACGTTTGGCCAGGGTAACAGGTGTGAGAGTGTGAATTTTTTCTCGTTCGTTTGAATGTTTATCCACGATCAAACGAATGTGTCACCCTCATTAGACGGTCGTGTCACGTTCAAAGTAATGTATCATTATATTCAAAAGAACACTGGTAAAACGATCCAGGAAGCGGAAGAAGGGGGTAAGTCGAGTTAAATCCGTGCACTTTTGCAAGGCATAAACCTTGCAGGTAGAAGAACAGGTGGGGAATGTCATCTAAAAATAGATGCAAGAGGATGGGACGTGTCTCACCACACTTATTTTTGGACCAAATTTTCGCTCATGTTTACATGAAAGACTGATAAGAGGTCACTGAATCAACTCGACTAAACCCCTTCTTCCGCTTCGTGGATCAAACAAAGGCATAAAAATTACGCCCTTTAGGACATAAATACTCTTTTACGCCCTTCCCAAGGGCTTAAATCGTTTTATGCCCTTGGGAAGGGCGTAAATGGAATAGGAATTTCAAGCAAAATTTTAATGCCCGTCACAAAGGCATTAACGATTTATGTCCTTTAAGGGCATAAATCCTCTACGCCCTTTAAGGGCATAATTTTTATGCCTTTGTTTCACCAGTGAACGCGACAAAATTCATTTTATAACAAGTATGATGTCACATTCGTTGAATAACAGTGTATGCATTTTTAAGTACGTACTCAGTAGACAGACAGTTTTCAGAGAAGCGTTTGAATTCAGTTTTTCCGTAACAGTCTCCATTAACTCGTGTGTTGCAGATTGCCCCAGATGCAATGCGGAGTGCTTTGCTGTGGACGTGGTTCACGTACAAGTTGCCCATCATGATCACAGAAAACGGCATCGGGTATCAAGATATGCTGGGGGTTCACGACCACCAAAGAGCAGTTTATCACAGTGTACGGTTTTCTTTTTACCTTTTTTTGGAGATTTTTTAAGTATTTTTTTTTTTTTGGGTGGAAAACGGGTCTGACTATGCTGATAAAAATGCCATTTTCTCTTAAAATGCTTCGAAAATCATAACTAAGGCTCCCCGAGCACGAGTTCGACACACATAATAAATTAAAGCTTCCAAATCAATGGCAGTTGCAAGCAAACTGTGAAAGTCGATTTAAATTTTCGCTGACCTGATTGCGTTGAAAATAACTGCTAATACCCGGCCGTTCACTCGTCACCGAGTGAAGAACTTGAGTAGTCGGAAATTCAGGAACCAGAAGCGGGCCACGGAACGGCCGGTGATATGAACTGTCCAGCTGACCCCTCTGCACAGGGCAACTATGAGTTCTATGAATTATGATATTGAGGCATGTTTCGCACGGCAGGCTTTTATGCGAGCAATGGTGTCTACCATACACGACTTCGGCACCAAGATCATGGGCTATAGCGCGTGGAGCCTCATCGACAGCTACGAGTGGCAATGGGGCTTCAGGTTAGTTTAGTTACACTGCTAAACTCTCAACACATAAAAAATTCCTCTCACACTCGGCAACTTTCAGTGTACCACTCAGTACTCTATCTTCAGCGTGTACTGCCACGAGAGCAGTGTACTCACGCGTAGTGCTACCACGGACCAATTTCTATGAGAAATGTACGCAGCCGATGAATCCTACGGCTCATCCGCAGCGTGTATTTTTCATGGAAACTGTAGTTTCTAACTTCCGATTTTGTTCTTCTGAGCCTAAGCTCCGCACTCAAAATGTGTTGCGAAAAAATTCCCAATAATACGAGGGAAATGGCGCAAGCATGATACGCAGGTGGTTTTTCTTCGAATTCCGAAGATTTTTCTTTGAATCTTACTATGAAAAAGCTGAAAAGATTCGTACTACGAAGAAATACAGCTAAAGTTATTTCATGCTTGCGTCGAATTTACCGTAACATACGAATGACATAGGTCAAATTTCATCGAAAGACATCTTGAGTGCGTAACTATCCTTCACTTCGTAAGGCCTTCTAAGTGTTGCTGTAAAAAATTCCGTACTTTGATCGGGAAATGTACAAAGATACACTTTCGTTCCAGGAACGTGACATCACGTTGAAACGAACGTGACAAAATGTCACGTTCGTTTGAGCATTGAAGCACATTCCTTTAGGTGTGAAATGGCAAAAAATCAGCTTGTTCACATTCTAACGAAAGTGACAAAATGCTCAAACGAACGGGACATTTTGTGACGTTCGTTTCAACATGATGTCACGTTCCTGGAATGAGAGCGTAGTACGGAAGAACGGAAGAAAGTACGAAACGTCTGTACTTATAACTCGTGCACTGAGACGTCATGTTCGTTTGAATATCATGTCATGTTCGATTGTACGTGAATCCGGCCTCGTCCAGGCTCGGGAACAGGCGATTGATTGGCAGTTTAACGAATGTGACAGAATTCTCTACAAATCGAAGAGCGTTCATTGCATGCTCCACCTGAAGCATGCCCGCAAGCACGCTCTAGCTGGCGCGTGCACTGCAAACCTAACTGTCTACTAAGTACACACTTACAAATGCATGCCTGCAAGCACGCACTTACAAACGCATGCTTGGCCAAGTACACACTTACGAATGCATGCTTGCAAGTGTACACTTACAAACGCATGCTTGACGCATGGAGTTATACGGCGTCAAGCATGCGTTTGTAAGTCTGTACTTGCAAGCATGCATTTGTAAGTGTGTACTTAGTAGACAATTAGGTTTGTAGTGCACTACAAGATCAAATGTGTGCTTAGTACACAGCTATGGGAGCGTACTTGCAAGCACACATCTATAGCTGTATGCTTGGACAAGCACACATCTATAGGTGTGTGCTTGGCAAGCACACAGCTACAGGTGTATGCTTGGCAAGTACACATCTATAGGTGTATGCTTGGCCAAGCACACTTTAATCCCACCCATTTAAAGGCATACTCCTACAGCTGTGTGCTTGGCCAAGCATACATCTAGATGTGTGCTTGTCCAAGCATACATCTATAGATGTGTGCTTGTCCAAGCATACACCTATAGATGTGTACTTGCCAAGCATACACCTATAGATGTGTGCTTGCAAGTACGCTCCCACAGCTGTGAACTAAGCACACATTTGATCTTGTAGTGTGTGCCTGCCAAGCACATACACTTACTAGTCATACATGCCATGTACACGCTTCTTGATGCAGGCAATTCTCCCTATCCCTTTTGCTTCAAATGCTGCTGTAAGTGCATGCGTTGCAGGCATGCGCTTTATAGACCGTGCTTGTAGGCCTGCTCCAGGTAGAGCGTACAATGCACGCTCTTTGATTAGCAGACACTGTTAAAAAATTTTGCTGAAAATTCAGACTTTTTTGACTGAAGTAAATATGCAGAACATCCTACTGAAAATTCAGACTAAATCCTGGTCTGAAATTTTCAGACTTACACAAGTCTTAACCTTTCAGACAGGTCGTAGTCTGAAAAATTCAGACAAAATTGTCTCAATTACTAGATTGTTTTGTCTGAAAGTGGCAGCAGGAAATTTTCCCGTAACTCGGTGAAATGATAATGTTCGCATCCGAACCTCAAAGGAGAGACGTACTCCAAGGAACCGTCTAGGTAAAAAATTGAGTGTAGGGCAATGTCCCCGATGTGGGACTCTTCCCTGCACTCACCTGGAGCTGGCATGACGCACCCTAGGAAACGACGGCACGGAGCCAACCGCGAGAGGTAACTTCAAATGTCAATTGTTAAACTCGCGCGTTTGCTACAGATATAAATTTGGTATGGGAGCGTGTGTTTCGTCATAGCCAATAGAGTGATGGCCATTTCGGGTTAAAAATATTAAAAATTTAACAGAATAAAACGTTTTTAACAACAGCAGGCTCTTTACCGACACTGGCGCCACCTAGCGGAGAGAAAAATGCTTTCGTTTTGTCTGAAGTCCCTGAAACGGAGTCGGATTAAATTGAATGTAAGACTAATTGTGAGTTAACCCAATGTTAGGTTGGAAGAAAGTTGTCCAATTTTCTCTTATGTTTGAACATATTTCAGAAAGTAGTCTGAATCCGAAATTCAGACTCTTGAGGTCTGGGAAGTCTGACGCAAGTTCATATGAATTTTGAGAATGAGTACAAATATTAAGACACTTCGAGTCTGAACCAAGCTTTCAGACAAAGCGTTTAAGAACTAAGACAAAAACTCTGATTTTTCAGAATTTAGTCTGATTTACAGATTCAGACCGCTAAGTCTGACAAAATTGGTCTGAATTTTCAGAATTTTTTTAACAGTGTCGAGTTACACTACAAACCTAATTGTCTACTAAGTACACACTTACAAATGCATGCTTGCAAGTACACACTTACAAATGCATGCTTGCAAGTACACACTTACAAACGCATGCTGGGCCAAGTACACACTTACAAATGCATGCTTGCAAGTACACACTTACAAACGCATGCTAGACGCCGTATAACTCCATGCGTCAGGCATGCATTTGTAAGTGTGTACTTGGCCCAGCATGCGTTTGTAAGTGTGTACTTGCAAGCATGCATTTGTAAGTGCGTGCTTGCACTGTTATTCAAATTGCGATAACCACCGTATATATTTTGCAATAAAAAACTTATCACATTTTTTCTGCTATAATGACAACTAAATATCTGCAATAAAAAATTTATAGCTAAATTTTGCAATAAAGTATCACATTTTTGCGATAATGACTACAAAGAAAATGCAATAAAAAGTTATCGCAGAAAAAAATGTGATAAAAGTTACTACAAAACGCTCCATTATCGCAAAAATTATGGGGTGGTTATCGCAAAAAAAGTGTAATAACAAAATTATCGCACTCCAGGATGCGATAAATCGTGGGAATCGCAAACTCGGTTTTATCGCAAAAGTTTGTAGTAAAAGTATCGCAAAATGAATGACAGTGTGCAGGCATGCATTTGTGAGTGTGTACTTAGTAGACAGTTAGGTTTGCAGTGTAAAACGAACGTGACACGAATCATGTTTGAACGAACGTGACCACTGGTATTTTTAATCTGATAAGTTTCATACAATTTACTGCGATGAAAAGGCTAGTGTGATTCCTTCAAATATCGCATCTGTGGCAGCAATAAGGCTCTTAGGTTTTGGCCGAACTGGGCATAGATTATCAGTTTTGATGTGATGAAATGATAACTACGCTAATAAAGTGATAAATGCGCTAATGCAATACATTAATTATTGCACTTATAATGCAATAAATTTTTCATGGCGCTACTAATGCAATAAAAATGTTATTGCTTTTGAAATAAGATCATTATTACACTAAGAAAATCAGTGACGTCACATTCCCGGATTCCCAGTGTGCAATCTTGTACGGAAGTTAAGTTTGTTGGGCAGGTGCGGGCGGTCCAGGCAAATTATTGACCAGACATGTTCCGTGCCTTTTCTGCGTACCTCTTTCTCGCAGGGTACTGAACGTGTGACTTTGTTTCGCTCGCAGCCGTGACTTCGGCCTGGTGCACGTGGACTACGAACACGGCAGCCTCAACAGAACGCTCAAGGACTCCGCGTCCTTCTGGGTAGAGCTGGCCGAGCGGCGAGTCGTCCCGCTGGTGGTGCCCTCGTCGTCCCCCTTCAACCGCGTCTCGCCGGCGCTGCTACTCGCCCTCGCGTTCGCCAGGGCAGTCAGCGACATCTGAAATCGTTCGAAATACAACCAGTGCTGCCAGTCAGGAGGAGAGGCAAAAGCGAACCCCATGACACTTCAAACCTATTTGTTTGTGACTATGGGGGCTGACTGCTGTAATACTTCGTGCACAGCACAATTAAACAAGGACAATATCTATAAAACCTAATCCATAACACCATCAAACGTCGCTTGTGTAGTACAGTTTCGTAAAATTGTAGCTCGCGAAAGTTCAGCTATGTCTGAATGTAAAGTAAGAGTGCACCATAATATCTAACAATGAGATTTGGCCAATGTTATTCGTATGTTACAATGAATTCGGCGCAAGCAAAGTACGAAGCAATATTGCTTCGTAACACGAATCTTTTTAGCTTTCTCATTGTAAGATACAAAGAAAAACCTTCGTAATACGAATAAAAACCAACTTCGTAATATGCTTGCGCCATTTCCTTCGTAATATGGGAAATTTCTTCGTAAGACATTTAGATTGTGTCGAAACAGCGCTTAAACAGATGACAGGGTGCTGAGGGTCTTCAGCATGTGCGGCTGTGTTTAGGGGCTCGGAAGCGCGAGCCAAAACCTAGTCTCCGATTTCATTCTTCTTATTCTTAGGCTTAAGGCTTAGCTAACTACAGTTTTTTTCGGCTCTGGTATAGTTAGCTTTGTGAATCTGACCCTCAAGGTGGTCTCCTTATCCCCAACAGGCAAAGGCCTGGTGGCTCCAGGATCATCGTCATCATTGTTGTTGCCATCAGGACGAGTGAGCCTAACGGGAGTGAGAACAAAAGCACATATCGAGGGGTCCTATTCAAAAGATCTTATCTGGGCGTTCCCCCAAGAGAATCTTATTTTAAACGCAGGCAAGTTTCACTCTTTAGGTTCATTTGGGACGACAGTAAGCGGAATATATTTCTACATGCACTTTTGGTTTCATTGATCTTTCATCTTCAGATTTACGTGAACTAAATTGCAAATTATATTGATATGTAGCTGTATTAAATGATCAAACTAAGTGAAATTCGCCTGCGTTTAACATAAGATTCTCTTAGGGGGAACGCCCAGATAAGATGTTTTGAATAGGACCCCTCGATATTAAAAACTTATGCTTGAACTGTACAAAGTAACACGACATCAGGTACTACACTGCATATTTTGATACATTAATTGAATTCTGATGTCCATGTGATTCGATAGGTTATGGCAGGGGAAATAACAACACAGCACAAAAATTACATAGACAGCATAAAACGATGACCTAGAATGCAATTTAAAACTAATGTACGTTCAATTCATGTGACATCAGGAAATGAAACAGCAATCCGCGCAAAAAATATTGCAAAATTCCATACCTTTCTATCAGTTGCGTCTTGTTCCCGCTCACTCCCAGGCCTCGTTTACGGCATTCGTCTTGAAGTTGAGTCTTCTTTAATTTTCCCCACCCTTCTACGCTCTAGGACATTTTGTATTCTTTGTCATTTACTATTTAACTAACTATGGTTTAATATTGCCACCATCCATTCCCGCAAACGCCCACCTGACACGCCTCCCGCGCACCGACGCTACGCTTCACAGTGAATTTTTCATAGCGACCTCGCCCGGTGCTGTCATCTAGCGGCCAACCCGCCCCGAAGCTTCGCGGCTCAAACCTCATTCTTTATAAGCCCTTATTCCGTCATTTTTCAGTCAAATTTGGGTGTCTTGAAAATTCCTGAATTAATACGGGCCATACCCACAACCGATCCGCGATCCCCAAGAATGCGAGGACTATCGAACATGACCCTTTCTGTGCAGAGCACCTTGAACCTTCCTTGTCATTTTCGCTGATGCCCCCCCCCCTTTCCTCCTGAATTAATGAGAGTAGGCGTCGCGTGCCGGATAAGCCGTGCATGCTCACGTGCGAACGGATGAGGAGGCGAGCACAACTGACGCGTGTGCGCCCCAATGTGAGCCCAATGTTTGTTGAATGTCGATTCGCTCTGGGAACGTGCAGGGCAACTGAGTGCGTGGCAAAATTCGGACAGGATTAGAAGCATGACGAAGGGGCAGCAGGGGCATTCCACACCCACTCTAGAAACTGAAGAGAGTGCATGGCATGCTCCTCCTGAAAGTCAACCACAAAGCACGCTCTTCCCAAGAGCATGCTTGCAAGCACTCTCTGGGATAAAGCGTGCTGCCTCACTATTATATGGACTCATATCAACGAAGAGGCACGCTTTCATCCTAGACAGTGCTTGCAAGCATGCTCCTGGGAAGAGTGTGCTTGCCAAGCATGCTCCTGGGAAAAGTGTGCTTGCAAGCATGCTCCTGGGAAGAGTGTGCTTGCAAGCATGCTCCTGGGAAGAGTGTGCTTGCAAGCATGCTCCTGGGAAGAGTGTGCTTGCCAAGCATGCTCTTGAGAAGAGTGTGCTCGCAAGCATGCTTCTAGTAAGAGTGTGCTTGCTAAGCATGCTCCTGGGAAGAGTGTGCTTGCCAAGCATGCTCCTGGGAAGAGTGTGCTTGTCAAGCATGCTCCTGGGAAGAGTGTGCTTGTCAAGCATGCTCCTGGGAAGAGTGTCCTTGCCAAGCATGCTCCTGGGAAGAGTGTGCTTGCCAAGCATGCTCCTAGTAAGAGTGTGCTTGCAAGCATGCTCCTGGGAAGAGTGTGCTTGCAAGCATGCTCCTAGTAAGAGTGTGCTTGCCAAGCATGCTCCTGGGAAGAGTGTGCTTGCAAGCATGCTCCTAGTAAGAGTGTGCTTGCCAAGCATGCTCCTAGTAAGAGTGTGCTTGCAAGCATGCTCTTGGGAAGAGCGTGCTTTGTGGTTGACTCCTTGGAGGAGCATGTCATGCACTCTCTTCAGTTTCTAGAGCAATTAGCAGGTCGCGTTCCCGATTTCGTTCCTTTCGCGCTCAAATTTTACCTGCCATTAGGGTAAGATGACCCTAAAATTTTAGGGTCGAATTATGAATATTTCCGGATGTTGCAATTTGAAATTTTCTTTAAAATTTCTTTTAGTGATTTTGTACAAAGTGTCAACTTTTGAGGGAATCCCTCCTGCTTTCGAAGTTTTCGACTCAAAAGGTCTGCATTACCATTCGACGTAAAATTCACCGAGGAATCCGAATCCGTCGCCGAAAAGTCTACGACCTTTTGGTTCGAGCTCCAGAACGGTTGAAAGTTGAAAAAACGCTATTATTTTCGTGAAAATTACAGCAAATGTTGACTCTCAGTCACGTGTGGCGTATGGTTTGGCCACCAGGGCTACCCGGGGAAGTGCGGCCGGTGGGTTGAGGTGAGAGAAGCCGGTTATGCTGCTCGCTACGCTTCTGCTCCGAGAAGTGGAGGTGGGAGCAGCAGGGGGTGCGGATGCACCTTCGACGTTCCGTCAGCGCGGCGTGGAACTAGAGTCCCCGCAGGCTGGAAGGGCTGAAACACCCAGTTTCCGCCGGCAAGCGGCTGGCTCGCTGCAGCGAGCAGTGGGCAGCCGACTAGTGCACACTTATCTGCAGGCTAGTGACTATAACCCGAGGACAAGCCGCTAGGCGATCAGCTGACTTCGCTTTGATTAGGTCACCGTGGCACAGTGGGTCAAAACGGTAAAAATCGGGAAAAAAATATTTTCGTACGCTGAATTACTCTCCCGATCGGAGCCTGAGGTGGCCATTCGGATTCCCCAAGAAAATTTGAGTCAGAATCATGAAAATAGCCGTGGCTTTTTGAATACCCGACGATGTGTGGGTCATATTAAGAGAGTGTAATATTTGATTTTAGCCCATTTAGCTGTTTGGAGGCCCATATATCGGCGGCATTTGAAAAAGCCACGGCGATTTTTCATGATTCTGACTCAAATTTTCTTGACGAATCCGAATCTGGCCACCTCAAGTTCCGGTCGGGAGAGTAATTTCGGGAAAATATTTTTTTTCCCGATTTTTACCTTTTTGACCCACTGTGCGTGGCGCAGCAGTGCCAGGCGGCCGTGTGCCGGCACCGGTGACTGTTCGTATGGTGTTTGGATGACACGACACAAGGTGCTGCGCTGACAGGACCAGTGGAGCGCGTATCGGCTGCCCGCTGCGAGCCAGCCGCCAGCCAGCACACAGAGGTAGGCGTAGCGAACGGCATCCCCGGCTTTTCATACCACAACCCACCGCCTGCACTTCCCCGGGCACCGTAGAACGGGGTGATATGAGACATGAGGGAAAATTGTGACAAAGCGCACTTTCTTCGGGCTTGTTGTCGTGTTGCTCTCTAGCGGTCGTCCGGAAGACCACCGTGAATATTTTTTTTCGTGATCTAGGAGGCGTTGGCAGCTCACAGGAAACGCACGGAGGCAATCAGAGACTCGCTAGGATTATTTAGAACCAAAAAAAAAATCACTGAATTCTGACAAGTTTTATAAGTTAGTAAAAACCTCTCCAGAAACCTCGGTTAGAACTCAGGCTTTCGTCCGAACGAGGTTTAAATATGTAGGCAATCATGTCAACATGATCAGGACAAAATTTGGTTCCGATATGCACTCTCATTCCCGGAACGTGACATCACGTTCAAACGAATGTGACAATATGTCACGTTCGTTTGAATGTGACAATATGTCACGTTCGTTTGAATGTGAACAACCTGATTTTTGGTCAATTCACACCCAAACGGATATGTCACAATGCTCAAACAAACACTCTTAAGAGCCTATGAAACATTTGTTTCATAACTACAAAGTAAATGAAGGCATCGTAGAATTGCTCCGTAATTATGAAGAATGCTTCGTATTACTAAGGGTTTTGCTTCTTAATACGAAGTGTTTCCTCGTAGGTTTTACAATGCCGTCATTTTCTTCGTATTACGAAGCGACTTTTCGGAGAGTTTTTACTGTGAACGTGACATTTTGTCAAGTTCGTTTCAACGTGGTGTCAGGTTCCTGGAATGAGAGTGTGTCCAGAGCCACTCCTGGGCACTAGAACATTTGTTCCTTCGTGCTGACCTCTGTGCCGTTGCCCCCCTTCAATGCACGAATCCCTGAACCTCAATCGTTACAATATCGAAAAATCGCGTTTCACAGCCCAGATTTGGCGCTGCATGGGCAGCATACTTCGACAACAACAGTGGCATATTCCGAAATGCACCAGACGCTCAGCGCCTCCCTGGCTCCGTGGTGCTGGCTGTTCCGCATAGATGGCCCGAAGGCGCGACTGCAGCGTTTGTGGTTGTTACTTCTCAGGAGCACCGTAAGTTCTCCCAGTCGTGGCACCAATTTTGGAGGGCGATGGACCGGTCAAAGGCACCAGCACCATCACTCATTGAAGTCTATGAAGCATGTGCTTCATAACTACAGAGAAAATGAAGGCATTGTAGAATTGCTTCGTATTTTGAAGAAATTCTTCGTATTACGAAGGATTTTGCTTCACAATAGGAAGCATTCGTTTCTTCGTATTACAAAGCGGCACTGTTAAAAAATTTTGCTGAAAATTCAGACCATTTTGACTGAAGTAAATATGCAGAACATCCTACTGAAAATTCAGACTAAATCCTGGTCTGAAATTTTCAGACTTACATAAGTCTTAACCTTTCAGGCAGGTCGTCGTCTGAAAAATTCAGGCAAGATTTTCTCAATTATTGGGTTTTTTTGTCTGAAAGTTGCGGCAGGACAGTTTTCCCACAACTCGGTTAAATCATAATGTTTGCATCCGAACTTCAAAGGAAAGACGTATTCCAGGGAACCGTCCAATTAAAAAATTGAGTATAGGGAAACGTCCCCGAAGTGGGACTCTTCCCTGCACTTATCTGGAGCTGGCCTGACGCTCCCAAGGAAACGACGGCACGGAGCCACCCGCGAGAGGTATCTTCAAATGTCAATTGTTAAACTCGCGCGTTTGCTACCAATATAAATTTGGTATCGGAGCGTGTGTTTCGTCATAGCCAAGAGAGTGATAGCTATTTCGGGTTGGAAATATTAAAAATTTAACAGAAAAAGGCGTTTTTAACAACAGCAAGCTCTTTAGCGACACTAGCGCCACCTAGCGGAGAGAAAAATACTTTCGTTTTGTCTAAAGTCCCCGAAACGAAGTCGGATTAAATTGAATGTAAGACTGATTGTGTGTTAACCTAATGTTTGGTTGGAAGAAAGTTGTCCAATTTTCTCTTATGTTTGAACATATTTCAGAAAGTAGTCTGAATCCGAAATTCAGACTCTTGAGGTCTGGAAAGTCTGACGCAAGTTCATCCGAATTTTGAGAATGAGTACAAATATTGAGACACTTCGAGTCTGAACCAAGCTTTCAGACAACACTCCAAATCGAAAGGCGGTAATATTTCCACCCTTTACTGGCGGTAATTGGCTATTGGCGGGCTCCAGGTTTTACCGCCAATACGAAGGCGGTACAGAAATTACCGCCCTTACAGAACCGTTTGTACCGCCTTTAAAGAGCTTTACCGCCGATTTCTTGGCGCACTGAGAGAACGTAAAAGGCGGTAATATTTTGTACCTCCTTTTTCGCACCATCTCAATGGCATGCAATGGGCGGTAATACTTTGTACCGCCTTTTTCGTTCAATTTGTAGGGTGCGTAATTGGCGGGCTCCAGATTTTACCGCCAATAGAAAGGCGGTACAGGTTTTACCGCCTTTTCCACACCATGTGTACCGCCAATAGATTTGTAGTGAAAGCGTCCAAGAAGTAAGACAAAAACTCTAATTTTTCAGAATAAAGTCTGATTTACAGATTCAGACCGCTAAGTCTGACGAAATTGGTCTGAATTTTCAGAATTTTTTTAACAGTGCGGTTCTTCGTAGAGTTTTTACTGTGATCTCTGAACAGTATTATGCATTATTGTCCATTAAGTTTCGACATTTTTCAAGACGAAATCAACCCCCCAAGCACTGAGGCGGGGTACGGACTTTAATCTTTCCACTTCTGTTTCCGAACAACAATCTCGTCGGCTTCGGTGGTTGCAGGGATCCCTGGTGCTGGTGGCCGTCACCAACTTGATGCTCCTGGCCGCAGTGGTGCAGTCATCAACTCTGCGTGAAGCGACCAACGGCATCCTGATGCTGTCGGGCGTGTACTCGTGCTCGGCGACCCAAATGTTCTATCGCTTGCGGGGCGAGCGCGTGGCGAACGTCCTTCACGATATTCAGCAAGTCGCCGTCATCGTGGAGGCGAATGCTCTGCCCGAGGGACGGGTTGGTGTTCTTCCCGTTCGTGAATTCCCATGAGCGCGTGGCAGTCGCGTCAAACGCCGTGAGCCCTTAACTCTAGAAACGAAACTGTATGACCAGGAGAGGATCGAGACAAAATATAACACTACGATAGGATTGGATAGGCCAGGGGGTGGCAACGGCCTAGGGAGAGCGTGAAGCGATGCTCGCGCCGTCAGTGCAGAGGTTGCGCACTTGTTCGAGATTATGAAAACTAGACTGTGTTTTTCTAAACGCTTTCCACCGATGGAAAGGGCTTTAAATTTAGGGTGCATTAGGCTAATTGCTCTTCTCGAAACTCCCACAAAAAATCACGAGAAATCATAAAAGTTAGGAAAAACTCGAATGCGCCATGTTGATGTAAATGATTCCGCCCTTGTGTTCGGTTGAATTGGAAGTATCGGTCAATTTCTGTAAACTGCTTGTAGCAATTCTCAGTAGCCCCTTGTCGATATACTCTGTAAGGCCTTACAGTATTCTCCGTTGGACCTTACAGTGTTCTCCGTAGGACTATACCAGACTGTAAGATCCTACGCAGAACATTGATAAAAGGGCTACGGAGAATTACACAAATGCATACAGTTCAGCTGACAGAACCGGTGCGCCTGCCCACGATACTGTCCTGTATTTTTCCCCACATCCGGTATAATGGAAGTTAACCTTGTTCAGGGTTCAATTTCACGTGAACGCGGTTCGCTAGAAAACAACGCACGCTTTCATGCGTAGCTACGCACAAATTCATACTAAAGCGCATGCACAATTAAGGGCAAAGCTTATACACAAAAACTAAATAGTAATTTAGTATTAACAACTATAAACATAAAACAATTATGACCTGGGAATTATGGTACATTATTGATGTTTGCTCCTGGAGGATAACAGGCCACGGTACGCGAAAGTTGATGGTGACACTGAACTATGAATAGCGTTCTCTAAACTACTGTTGCCTGCAGTTTTGAATTTGAACTAAGAGTTTCGCATTTCAAACTGAACTGAAACAATAAGGTTACGCCCTCCTGAAAGAACCTGTGCTGTCGACATTAGTTTCATGTCTCGACTGTTACAGGTTTTGTGTCACAAAAGTCGATGCGTAAGTAAGACATGTCTGTACGTTGAAGCTTGTGCGTTCGTCACTCTCGGACCCATATTATAGACTTTTTTGTCTCTTGCTTGTAAAGTTTTTAGAGCAGACGTACAACGAACTATTTCCTCTTTAACCGTGCACAATTTTTATCATTTTAAAGAGGGTCAATAGATCGTCAATAGATCATATCATGTAGACATTAAAAGTACATCGCAAATGACAAAAAGTCAAGTTTAATGGACTAAACACCCTACATAATGAACAAAAAAGTGCAGAGCTAAAGAGACAACAATAATTCATGTAACGTTTGAACAAAAAAAACTTTTTGGCAAGAAATAGAAGTCAATTCGAGGCTGAGAGAGTTAATTCGTCCGTTCGTCCAATTGAACAGTCACTGTAATTGTCACTGATTATATCTTCTAAAATAAGTGTGAGTGATTGTTTTCTAAACGTACTTTGTGGAATGAAATTGCAAGTGCTCCACACAACAGTTAATTAATTATTCTGTGAGAACGAAAAGATCGTTTGCACAAATTATTTAGGTAACTACTCTGGTAAATTTAGCCCAAACGTCTTTCTGTATGGAGCCGAGCGAATGTCCTCCCGGTCCTGTCACATCTGAAGAACTATTTAGGGAGTCTCCAGCGTAGTAAAAGACGTTTTTCCTTAGAAAGCCTTGGCCAACGCGGCTCGGACCAATCGTCGGATGGTCATGGTGCAGTTACAATTCTTCTTCGTCCTCACGGGGGTCGTCTGGGTCCAAGTCATTGCCACTGGCGAGCCCAAGGCCCCTATGTGGCCCGCGCTCGGCCCGGGCCGGTGGGGTGCGTGGTCTTCGGGCGTGCTGCAAATGATCGCCATGCTGGTCGGCTGCGTCAGCTACTTCTCACTTATTGCACTACTGGGCTGCGCAACGGCCTCCCTCGGCGGCCTGTACTTGGCCTTGGGAGGAATGATTGCCTCACCCAATCAGCGATCTCAGGTTGGTGGCAAACGTTTGACCGGGGAGGCATATTCATTCTATGTACTTACGAAAAGTTTGCAGTATATAGAGTTAACAGCAAAATAATCGTTATTTTGCAGAAAAATCCCTAACAGTTAAAGTTCCCGAAGCCAAATCCTTGATACGATTTCCAGATTATTCGAGTTGTGAAGCTGCATCAACGCGTCAACCGACAGGCGCGAGAAATTGAACTGCTTTTTAACGACATGTTGGTGCATCATCTTCTGGGTGTGCTCACTGTTCCACTGATGTGTGCACTTCAGGCAAGTGGGGGACACGGGTCATGAACTTTGCTTGGCAGGTTGCAATGAATACTCAGACTAATCCGACTAGAGAACGGGTCCAGGTCTCCACACTAAATGTTTATGTACAATTTTGTACGTGGTGATGCATAATTTTAAACTTGTGTGCCGTCGTGCATACACTCTCAGACTCGTATTGACTTTTTATCTGTTGCCATAAAGGTTTTTGTGCAAACGTAATATGTACTATTTTCTCTTTGGCTATGCACTAATTTGTTCATTGCATAATGTTTATAGTCCATTAAACCGGACTTAATGTCATTTGTAAAGTACTTTTCAATTTCTACATGATCTATTGACAATTATATCCCTAAAACGATCAAAATTGTGCATAGTTAAGGAGGAAATAGTACATTTAACGTTTGCTCAAAAACCGCTATAAGCAAAAGAGAAAAATGTCCATATAAGTCTGAGCGTGTGAAATTGACCGGTAACCGAATTTGCATAAATCTATGCATTTTCACGCATGATATTATGCAAATTCCCCGCATGCACAAAATCGTGCAAGTGGCACGTACAAAATTCTACATAAACATTTAGTGTGTCCGGGGCTTGCTGATTAAACCAGCCCAAATCTTCACAAATTCCCTCTTGTCCGCTACACCGCGCTACACCCTCATTCCAGGAACGTGACATCACGTGGATGTGTCACAATATGACGTTCCTTTGAGCATTGTGTAACATTCGTTTGAATGGGAACAAGGTACACTCGTGTAAATTTTGTCAGAATGTCAGAAACATGTCTGAAATCCTGATCAAAATTCGCGCACCTCTGAAAGCTGAAATTCTGAAAACTTATGCTGATATTGATGGCGAGTTCTGCAGAATGTCAGAACATGTTTTCAGCTGTCAGAGGTGCGTGATCAGGTTTTGATCAGGTTTTCAGACACAATTCTGACATTCTGACAAGATTTACACGAGTGTAGGCGTATACGCCAGACAGTGGCTTGTCGTAATACGCTTCGCGATGCTGCGCCAGTTACCCTTGCTGTCCCAAGTTACCCCGGTTTACGGTACCTGAAATTAGCGCTGAATCGAAGCTTAAGGTGGGTAGATGATAAAATTTAACCCTCAAATCCATGACAGCGCCACAACTTTCACAATTTCCAAAAACTTCTCAAAAGTGTTCGAAGTTACCCCGTTTCACGGTAACATATTGTTCACCATAAATACTAAATTGTCATCAATTAAAGACTATTTTTGAAGTCAATTGTCCTTGACTTGTCAATAGCAAATTGACTTTAAGTCAATATAACGAACAAAATATTACATAGATATTGAGGAAATAGTACTTTTTATTGCTGTGTACAAAAAACTCTTTAACAAAGGACAAAAAGTCAATAACAATCTGAGAGTGTAATCATATTTTGGCGAGACTTTTGTTTCTCTCCACACTATGGCGAGACTCTTCTGTCTGGTCAAATTTGGGCGATCAGACTCAATTTTCAGTTTTCAGTGCAGGGATCGTGATTTTTATTTTGCAGATAATGTTTCGCGACCTGGACCCCATGACCATCACGGGATCACCTTTAATAGTCGGAGTTTTCCTCCCACTGGCTTTTCTCAGCCAGGACCTCGCGGACGCCAGCGCGGATGTGGGTGATCGCGCCTTTGAGGCGGCTTCCAGCCTAACCGGGTACGAGTGGCACATCTCTGAAATACGCCTAGGCCTCCGATAGTTGGATCCCACCTGTTTGTGCAGCGCGAGAAAGATCCCGATTGCACTGATATCGAAAGGATGGTGAATTTGACACATCATGCTGGGATGAGACCTAAAATATGGTTCTTATTCTATTTCAAAGTTGCAAGAATAACACCAGGGCTTCTCATGGTCACATGAATCGTTCCGGAGCCAGCATGGAGTTAGTGAACAATCAAATGCCCATCGGTAGACTTCGTACTTCTACCAAATTTTCTAACAGGAAATTAAAATTGCAGAATCTGTAGTGTACTTTTAGACTGACATTGACTTTTTATCTTTTGTCAAAGAGTATTTGATCCAGGAAGCGGAAGAAGGGGATAACTCAATTTTGGCCATTTTCCAGGAGAAACCAAAAACTGTTAGCAGGGAAAACTAAAACAAAACAAATGAATGTTGCAGATGTTAATAATTTCAAAAAGCATTAATAAAATTTTGGAAAAAAATCAAAAGGGTAAGGTCACTCCGTAGAGGATTTCTGCGACTTGTCACTTTCCGTTGAAATGGAAAACAGAGGCAGCTCACCTTATATTTCCTAAACAAAGAGGAATTTGGAGACAAGTCAAGTGGAACAATAGTCTGCATAAAGTGTATGTTACTCTGGTGTATTTTTTGGACTTGGCTCTTTTTTCCAAATTGAAATTTAAAATTAAGGGGGGGTTAAGTTGAGTTGATTCTTTTTACACTAGATTCATAAAAATACAAGTTGAGTTATATCCTTTTGCCAATTTGTCAAACGGACTCATGTAGACTTCCGTTGACTTATCTCCATTTTCCAATGAAATTTAGACCGTAAAAGGGGTTAAGTTGAGTTATACCCTTTTTCCTTGTGGATTTTCTCCTAAACTGCTTGGAATTCAGTCAAATAATTTGATGTAATGATGGAAACCATTCTAAGGCACAATAATAAAATAAAAACTCAATTTAGGGATAAGTCAAGTTATTCCCTTCTTCCGCTTCCTGGATCATTTTACAAAGCAATAAAAAGGACTTTTTCCTCAATATCTATGTAAGGTTTTGTTTGTTATAGTGACTTAGTCAGTTTGCTATTGACGAAGAGTCCATACCCAATTGGCTTTAAAAAATGTCAATGATTGCTGACAATTTAGTCTTTATAGAGAACAATATTGTGCATAGTTACAAAGAAAACACTGCATATTGTTGCTGCTTAAAAACTACTTCATCAAAGGATAAAAAGTCAATAATAGAGTGATAAAGTCAATACGAGAGAGTATGGTCTGTGTGCCTCCCAGCGCAGAGACCTACTCACAAACATGAACTCGTCTCAGCACGACAAACAGAAAACGTGAATTTATGCCATAGGCTAAGTTGCGATGTAAGGAAGCATTTAAGCTTCGAAAGTGCCAAACATCTATATATTTTCCACGTAAAGGAAAATTTGGCACTTTTGAAACTCATATTCACTCTCAGACAGACCATTGACTTAGTACATGGTTTTGACATTTTGTCAATAGTACACTGTTAAAAATGGTTGTTCCAAAACAACAACACAGTTACCAACCTTGACAACGCTGTTGTTTATAAACAAGTTTGCTTGTTTTAAAACGACAAATTCGTTGCTAATTATTTTTCTGACTTCTGCTGTTTCAAAACAATATTTTGCTGTGTACAAACAACCAGGACAATCTAAGAAGTGATTACTGCGGGTCACTGGGACTTTACTAGGTCTGCAACTTAAACGGCAATCAAAATTGATGGAAATAAGGCTTTACCTCAGTTTTTCATAATATTAAGGGAAAGCTACAGGATATTAGTCAAATGAGCTCGAAGGAGATTCTCCCTTCTTTGACCATTTCAGACTAAAGAATGCTTCAGCGAAGCCCTTTTTAACATCTGAGAAAAGACATGCATTTTACCTCCCATCAGGACCCAAGTAATGCTCCGAAGAACATCTGTTTAAGCCCTGAGAAAATGTCTCCGAAAAAAAGATGGAAAATGAATGGAGTCTCCATGAACGTGATTATAGGGTTTTTTTCTCCATAAAATTTCGGAGCTTATTTGTAACAGTGTAGGGGAAAACGAAGGCATTAAAACTATTCGCGAACAAGAGCGGCGTGAATTAGTATCAGACTTCTAGGCTGCTCATCCAAAGGCATCGGCCTCACCTTCACACGCTTTTATAAGAGCCTGCATAAAGGGCAACTTGTGACCACTTCCTTCTTATTACGAACAAATTTCTGTGTACCAAGACAGATTTGTATCGTAAAGTACTGAGAATTAGCTAAGTATTATGACTGCACGGCATTTCTCAGTAGGAAATTGGGAGTGTACACTGAAAAAAAATTTCAGTATATCCAACGGACATAACATTTTTTCTTACTGAACCGTACAGTAGAATATCGTTAGCTGGGAATTCAAATAGATTTTACGGAACGGCCATTCAGTAGACGCTACTACAAAATTGTTGTGGATGCTACTGATCGCGTACAGTAAATGGGACTGCTGGTCAAAAGCAGTCGGGGGAGGGGGCGCGCCCGGCCTCACCCCACCCCCACCCCCTTTCGCCCTGTTAGTGTTCTATGTGTGATTCCCAAAGCACTTGAGAAAATTGTTCACCAGCAAATAACAGAATATGTTGAAAGTAATGGCATCAGTAATCCACTCCAATCTGGTTTTAAGAAAAGGCATAATACAACTACAGCTCTGATAAAAGTTACTGATGATTTGAGGAAATCTATTGATCAAGGGATGGTAAATTTGTTGATTCTGTTGGACTTTAGTAAAGCTTTCGATAAAGTCCATCACAAACTGTTACTCGTGAAGCTCAAAGCACTTGGCTTTTCTGCTGCTGTAATTAAATGGATTGAAGAGTACCTGACAGATAGACTGCAAAGAATTATGTCTGGTGACGATTTTATTTCTGACTGGCTAAGCCCAGAAACTGGTGTACCGCAGGGCAGTGTGCTAGGGCCTTTGCTTTTCTCACTGTACATTTATGACATCCCAGATGTGCTTTGCTATAGTAAATACCATTTATATGCAGATGATCTCCAGATTTACATCAGCTTTTATCTTAAAGACTATGTAGCTGCCTGTTGTAATGCAAACTCTGATTTGTCGAAAATCGTTG